CGACAAAGCAGCGTGCTGCAGGGTTGGTGCGGGGCTGTCATGGCGGGGCGCACAGAATACGAAGGGCTGACGCAAGCGGCAGCTGCTAGAGCGGCAGGACCTACACCATGAGCCGGCCGGCACCGCTTCCTGGGGCTCCAGGGTGAGAGGTCGGGTTACGCACCTGGCGCGGGTAGGCTGAGACGCCCGGTGTGTCGCGGGTGACACCGTGGTCGGCAGCGAACAAGATGAGGCAGCTGGCCGTGATGCGGGGCTTCAGGGTACCCTGAAGCTCGCTGAGCCTGCAAGGAGCGATGGAAAAGCAGGGGTGTCGTGAGGTGCGGTGTGCGGCGCTCGCAGACTGCGTTGGCTGGGACCTGCCAGGGGCTGCTGTCAAGCACAGGGCCCAGCCCTTGTGGCGCTTGCCTGATAGCCCAGTCCTCCAGAAGCCCCAAGGATCCAGGTGGCTTGGCCTTGCCCCGCATCGCGTCCGCGGCAGCTGCTGCAGTGCCCATCGCCGTTGTCGTTGGTGGCGTGGTGTAAGCGCGCTGTTCCAGCAGAGCGACCCCCGGAGCGTGGCACCTGAAATTCTCTCTGCCCAGGCAGACGACGAGCAGTGCTGTGCAGCAAGCTGATATCAGGCTCTAGATCTGATGTGTGAGTTGTCTCTGAGCTTGCGAGGTGGCGAAATGAGGCCGCAGATCACGGGAATTTTGGGTCGTCGGATACATTCAACTCAAAGGCGCGCTCGTACATGAAAACGACTAGAAGCATTGATGTGGTGTGGGATCAGGAACGCTCGCACGAGCCACGGGAACTGCTGCAAATTCCTGCAGGCCAGTAAGTGCACTTTGACCACCAAGTGAGTGATCGTCTGCGAACGGTGATGAGCTTGGCTTGACAGTCAGCTGGGACTCAGTGCAACGATGGCTTTCGAGTAGTCTGCTATGATACCAAGTATCAGTGTCGTCAAGTTTGCCAGCTGCATGGAGCGTCCTGGCCTGTCACAACCAATGGCGGCTGTTGCTGGCTTCAATACGCACAGTTGGCACCATTATTATGAGCAATACTTTGACCAGCTGCTACTAATCAGGCTTGAAACAATACGATACAAGTATGTTTGCCTGCAGCTATTACAACATTGTGTTGAGGGATGAGCGGTACGGTTCCACCACCCCTGACGACATCCAGCCCAGGGAGGCTTCCCAGGTCTTTGACACAGCAGCTGGATGATGCACCTTCAGTGGAAGTTGTAGTGCTTGCGAATAGCTTCTTTCACATCCCAACTGTGTGAGATGTACGGGATGGTGCGAAGCGTGTGTATCAGCTAGCAACACAGGCTGCAAGAGTCGCTTGTTCAATTTGACACATAGCACGCTGGTATGATCCAGGCATGCGATCCATGTTCAAGGACCCCAAACCTGGTCAAACGCGCTGCTCTGCAACCCCGCGACTCAAACAAAAAGAGGTGCCTTCACGTACGTGCAGGACATGCCAGCAGGGAAGGTTGCTGTGTCGCCCGCCTTGATCTCCACTGGCTCCCCCCCTGCACAGAAAGAGCCACAATGTGGTGTTCAGCCGGGTCCCTCAATGGCCATGATTGCAAATGCTGTTGACGCAAGCGCGGCTGGCGCGCGCATGCGTGTGTGTGTGTGTGTGTGTGTGTGTGTGTGAGAGGGAGTGTGTGTATGTGTGTGTATGAGAGAGAGTGTGTGTATGTGTGTGTGCGAGCAGGTGATCCTGTTGGGTGCGCTCGACGTCCAGCCGGTGATGCACCCTCGGCAACCCTGCTGCTTGCCGTCCGGCGTGACGATCACGCGGCCCTCCAGCACGTAGCACGTCTCATTGTCAGTGTAGGACCACGGGAACTTTTCAGCGCCGCAGCCCCATGTGGGCCACCGCTTCATCACCTGTGAACCAGGCAGGGCACACACGGCTGGAGACGGCGGCCTGGCCTGTGTGCGCTACCGTACCGTATGCAACACAGGCAGCGGGATGCCACACATGCGGAACAAAACTGCTGTATTTGTGCAGCCGCTCATGCTCCGATCGACGTGGCAACTGCTGCTCAGCAGCACCTGAGCCTCCTCCACCTGCCCATGCACCGCACCTGAATGCGCTCATCGGGTGCGTTGCTCACGACGACAATTTTGCTGCTGCTGCCCAATCCTGCGTGAGAAACAACACCTGAACGGTACCTGCTGGCCACTCGCGGCCTGAATGCGGTTGCCTGCTTGCTGGCAGCTTGCATTTTCGCAACGCTGCGATCTCGCGCAGTCAATGAGCGTGCTGATCACCAACCGGTTCTTTTACACTACGTTCGTTTCAGAGCACCCACATGTTCGCACGGCCCCCATCTCAGGCGGCGTTGTTGGTGTCACTCAAGCGTCACCACGTCACCCAGGCATTGCCAAACTTGCCAAACTGACAGCTACTGCAGTTTGATCCAATACACGGACGATGCAAGTCACCTCCCTGGAACATGGGGGGTTGAAGCAAAATCATTGTGATTCTGAACATCTGACGGGCACTCACCGCCCAGAATCGAGCCGGAAGTGTAGGTAGGGATGGAACGCCAATCCGCATGTTTCGACCCTCACAACCTGGAGCTGGCATGAGCTCCATCGGCTGCCACCACAAGCCAGCAGATTTCCCTGACTCCCCACTGTCTCAAGGCTGCTGCTTGTCTGCCGTCTGGCCTGGCATCTCAATCCCTTGATTTCCGTTGCCGCAGCCATATTTTCATTGGCGCCAACTTAAAAGTCACGCGGCGCCAGCCAGCTTCTTGGAGCCGATGCGCACCTCCAGCATGAGTGCCGCAGGATCCATGCGGGTGCTTCTGCAGTCGTCTTCCCCTTGCCTGCCGCAGCAAGGCACCAGGATGCACAAGTCAACAAGGTTCCCTGTCCCTGCTGCCCATCCCTGGGTGAGGTGAGTGGCCTTGAATTTGATTTTCTCGCCTCAGCACCTGTCTGCTTGTGTGGCATCTGCTGCTGGTCTGTTTTTTACGGCTTGTCTATGGTTGACCGCGCAACCCCAAACACGTTTACAGAGGTGGCAGTGGCTGTGGTGGCAGAGATGGAGGCATGAACGCGCATCGCAATGCTCCTGTCCCTGTAGCCTGCATGCATCATCAGCGAACGCTGCACCTGTACACACACACACACCCTGTGTGTGTGTGTGTGTGTCTGTGTGTGCAGTCAATCCGTGCGTGACCACGGCTGTACAGGTCACCTCGATCGTTGAGAGAGTTCAACGCCCCTGACAGATTGAGCTGGTGGCACGGGATGCCATATGTGGTGTTTCCTTGGAAATTGTTACAACATTTACGCAATTTCGAGTTGCTTTTTCTCTCTTTACTCCTTCAAGATCAGTGCTGATCCCAGTTATGGTTGCGAACCACGATGCTTGTGCGCCAACCATGGCTCAAACAGCCAACAGAGCTGATCAAACCAATACACAGTCAACACACAGAACAAAACTCAGGCCAATGAGAGGTAACCGCGCTTGGATTGCCAGGACGTTGGAGGCGCGTGTTTCAACCTGCTGAGTGCTAGCTAGAATCTCGTCATTTGCGTATGGTAGTTCACTGGCCCTTGGGGATGTTGACCTGCGTTTTAGGAGTGGTTGCATGCATTTTGGGGCGCCTGTTTACACGTATGACTGCGCTTATGCCTTCGCTCACGTCATCAAATGCTGCCAATTTACCGACAAGCCTCACCTGCAAGCTGCAACACCACAACGTGCGCACTTACTTTTGTGAAACCCCGGCTGTCCCCTCTCTCGCCCTGCTTCATTTACCACTCTGCACAAAATCCCACAACAAGACCGCCCACCGACTGCAGGTTGTCGACGCTCGCCAGGCTGGAGATGTCACATACAACCGCCTTGAGCTCCGCCCACGCGGCCTCACGCGCAGCCTCAGCGTCTGCCTGCTCCTTGCGCAGCCTCGTCAGCCGCTCCTGCATCTTGGGCACGGAGCCGGCCCCTGCGGCTGGAGTCAACGCACGGGCACCGCGCCCGTCTTGCCGCTGGTGGTCATCGGCAGAGGCGGCGATGTCACACGCGGGCTGTTGCCCGTGCTGCTGATGCTGTTCCTGCTGCTGTCGCTCCTGCTGCTGTCGCTGTTGCTGTTTGCGCAGCTGGTCCGCCTCAACGCGCGACATGTCTAGCTGCGCCTGCAGGTCAACGATGAGCTGCTTGGCAGCCTGCATGGTGCGCAAGCGCCACAAAGAAAGAACCACGGGTATGTCAGAACCACTCTGGCACCTCGATGTGCCAGTCAAGCACCCTGTGTGCAGGAGCGACCGAGCACACAACACTGCCGCGACTGTCCCAACAGTGCAGGTGGTTGCCCTGGCGGAAGGCCGCGCACCCTCAGCTCTGCCCTTAGCTGCTGCACATCGCCACTGTCAGACGGCGAGGAAAGCTCCTCCATAACGGTACCGGTAGCAATTGCTCACAGTTTGTGGACAGAACGTTTGAAAAGTGAGGAGGGATATATTTCGTACGGTTGATATTAACAATATGACATACATCTGAATGGAACAATAAAGCAATAGTAACATGAGAGACGATTCCGATGAGGGGCCAGATCGCGAGCCCGTCATTCTCGCACAGCCGGCGCAGCGGGAGCATGCAATGGCGTGGTTGGAGGCGGAGTGCATTGCGCACCAGGCAAGGCGACGATCCAGATCGCTGGGCTGGGATCACTTGGTGTGTTGGCGCCAGCACTCATTGTCCTGCCCATGCAGGTGCCCTTTGAATCAGAGAACTGCGGCGTGTTCTATGAAGCCGTGGCAGCTGAGGGAGACGTGGAGATATCAGACATGGTCGCCGTAAACGGCCGGCGGTGCGATTTTGGCACAACTTGACACACGCGTGCAGGCGGGGCGCATGGCGTAGGCTCAATTGGGGATGCGTGGGGATTGCCTGCTCCTTGTCTGACTTCTTGGCTTTCCACATTGCAAGCCCCTTCCGAGGCTGGTTGGTGTTGCGCCGCTTACAGGGCAGTGTGGACGTCCGGCGGGACGCTGCGGCAGCAGTTTACCGCGCCAGCAGACATTGTGCAGGTGCGCGGGGAGGTTGCACCAGGTTTTGAGGCAGTTTGGATTGCTGTTGTGGCAATTGACAGCGTCCACGTAGCGGCTCACGACAGGTGCCCCACGATTTTGTCGCCGCAGGCGGCTTGGGCGCGCTTCAACGAGTTTGGGTCGCAGCGCGTGCTGTGCCTGCTGCATCGCCTCAGCGTCACCAGCATCCTGCCGTCAGGGGCGGTGCAGGAGACGCCGCTGCTGCAGCCGTGCACCGCGATATGGCCGCTCACACGCGGGCTGCTTCTGGTGGTGAGCAGCAGCGAAGGCGGCCGTGGCCGGCTGGCAACTGATCGCCTGCCTGCTGAGGGCGCGAAGCAGTACCAGCTTTCTGTGTTTTTGCCGGCTCAAGAAAACAGTGTCGCTCGGTCGGTTGGCTGCCGCAACGCGGCATGCGGGAATTCGTTGCAAGAAAGCCGTCTCTCGCCCCGCCGCTCACCTGCGACCACCCCAGGGCCCGTTCGACTCCTCGGTGTGCCTGTTGACCCACCCCCTGGAGGAGCCCCACCCTGTTATTGCTGACTGCCTGCTGCAACAGCACGCGGACCCGCGGCCAGCAGTCAGCGGCGGCTGGGTGCCGTGCGGTGGCGGCTTTGGCGGCGCCATGGGCGAGGGTGTCGCACTGTCAGGCTGGACCAATGAGAGCGTGGTGTGGACCAGCGAGCAGCTGCCCTTCGTGGCAACATACAACGATGTGAGCACTGCGGGTAGCTGATGTCAGCTGGACGTGGCATCCGGCAGCACTGAGGCAATGTGTGCGGTGCACGCTCTGAGAATCACACCAGCTACGGCGTTTTTGACACTTCGCTTGCGCTTTAACATTCGCACAGCCGCACGCTCCGTGCTATGCAAGCAACCGGACCTCCCCGCGGCCCCCCCGCTGCGCAGGCGCACGGCCGCCTGGCGGTCTGGCGGCTGGACCCGGCCCCTGCGGGGGCGCCGCTGCTGGTTGGCAGCCAGCACGAGCTGCCGGTCGTCAGCCCCGCGGGCCTCGGGCACCCGCGGACGCCGGCCACCGGCAGCCTGGCACCGGCGTTTGCTTACGGGGCGCGCACGCCCATGTCGGCCAGCAGCTTTGCGGGGACATCCTATGCGCCCTCCACCATCAAAAGGTGCGGCACAGATCGCCAGATGGCGTGGGCTCCACGAGAGAGCGAGGGCACAGTGACTCGCCTTGAGGCTGACAGGGGTGAAGCTGCAGAAGCTGCTGGCGAAGCAAACGCCTGCCTGCAAAGTCTTGTGGGGCGCCCTGCCCTCTCCCCCCCATGTGGCCGCAGGTCCAGCGTCCGCACACCCAATGGGTACCTCTCTCCGGACGTCTTCAACCCCGCGCCCCGTGGCGGCGCCGCCGCCACACCGCTCGCGCACGCCGCTCCCGCCGCCACGACGCGCGCGGCCGCGGCACTGCTGCTGCCGGGGCCTGACCCGGGCGCGATCTTCAAGCTCGTTCTGAGGCACGAGTTGCCGCTGGCAGGGCCGCCCCCGAGCGGCGGGCATCTGGCGACGGACGGCGAAGGCGCGCCGCTGCTGGCGGTCGTGTGCACGGACACCGCCACCCTCTTGGCGTTCCGCCTGCCTTTCAGGTGGGCAGGGGCGCGGTCTCTCGCGCCGCTGCGGCTGTGGATTACAATGGCAAGAGCATTGGGGGCCATAGTTTGGCTGAGGGGTCAGTGCAGAGACCTGCTCCTGGTCTGCGCTTGCTGGTTGCTTGCGCCTTTGAATGTCACTCCAACTCCTTCTCAGGCCTTGCCTTCTGCACGCACCTGGACTTTGCAGCAACGCGCCCAGAGAGCCGCCATCCCCGGCGGCCTTCGCCTTCGCGCTGCCCGCCCTGGCCGCCGCCGCGCTGGACGCCACGGGCATGCGCTGCAGCGCCAGCTTCTGCGACCGCCTCATTGACCTCCTCGTGCTGCAGCCCTCGCGCCAGCTGGTGCTCTACCGCGGCGCCTGGCCGCTCGCAACCTTTGGGCTACAAGGCGTTCCCAGGGCGCCCGCGGGCGCCGGCGCGGCGCGGCCGGGGGCGGCCGCGGGGCTCGCGGACGGGATGGGGGCGTCAGACGCCAGGTGCGCCGGCATGGACGTCGATTCTGCGTTGTTTGAGAGCCGCGGGGCTGGGCCCGGCCGCGACCAGGGGCAGCACGACGGGCGGGATTCTGCAGCGCAAGCGCCCTGCGGCCTGGAGCGCGCCGCGGGCGCCGACGTCGACGTGGTGGTCGAAGGCGGCGTGCGCGCACGCGCGCGCCTGCGGCTGCGGTGGCTGGACAGCCTACCCAGCCTCGCGCTTGCGGCGCTGCGCGAGGTGTTGCCGGCGCGGCGCTACCACGCGCTGCTGGCGCGGTGCCTGCTGCGGCCCGGCGCGTGCTGCGGGGACCTGCGGCGCGAGTGGGCAGCGGTGGAGGGCGTACTGCTGGCGTGGGCGCGGGACGCGCGCCACCTCGACGGCCATGAGCCGCCAGAGGAGCCGGCGCGGCCGCAGGACCCGGGGCCGCGTGGCGTTGCCACGCCGTCCGCTCCCGGCGTGACGCGGCGCCAGCCGCCGCTGCAGCAGCAGCAGCAGCAGCAGCAGGCCCCGAGCCAGGCGCCCACTCCAGATTTCTCCTTCCCGCCCGACCCCGCTCTGATGGCCAGCCCTGGCAGCGCTGACATGGACCTGGCTACCCCCGAATCGACGCTGCGTGGGGCGCGGACGCCGTCGGCATGGCGGGCGCCGGCGGCTGCGGCGAGCGCGTCGACGCCTCACAGCCTGAGCAGGGCCGGCAGGATGGCCGCCGCGGCCGCACGGCAGGGCCAGGCACAGCAGCAGCAGCAGCAGCAGCAGCAGCAGCAGCAGCAGCAGCAGCAGCAGCAGCAGCAGCAAGCAAGGCCACTCATTTGTATTGACCAGCAACAGCAGCAGCAACAGCAGGATGACGAGCGAGCGGGTGATGATGACTACGATGACGACGAGGACATGGACATGGCCACACCAATGACTGACGCGGGTGATGGAGCATGGCCATGTCAGCAGCAGCAGCACCAGCAGCAGCACCAGCACCAGCTGCCTCTTTTGCCAGGGCCAACCCCAGCGCCGCCGGCCCGACAGCTATCCGCGGGAGCCACAGGCGCAAGCAGGCAGCCGCGGGTGGCAGGGGCTGACGCGCCCCAGGCAGCGGCGCCGCTGCGGGGCCCGGCAGCATGGGAGCGGCTGGTGGCGGGGCTGCCTGTGGGCGACCTCGCCACGCAATTCCCATGGGCTGCGCGCCCCCTCCAGCAGGAGCGGCGGCGCCGCCAGCAGGCGGCGGCCCGCGCGGGCG